GACTTAGAATGTCATCACTCCTTAGGCAAGCACATTAAGAATGCAGTGAAGTATAGAATGTGCCTTCGCCCATCATAAAAAAGTGCCTTAGCATTCGCGCACGCCCTCATATTACAGTAGTACTCTTACTCACAAAACCTGCCTTCGACTATAAGCCTTTTTGACGTTGCCTTAATTGCAGTCTTGAGTTAGAAGACCCATTTTCGACAGAAATAGCTTGAAGGGAAAAAGCAAAAACGACTATCATTAATTTATACAGCTCCAATCAACTACTACTACACTAGACGAGGACGAGCGTAAAGCTAAGTTAATTTGCAGTAAGGAATGAAAAACAAGAAATAGGTTAAATACATGCCTTGTAGAAGCTGAACTACCAACTCTACCTACTTTTTTTTTATGAAAAAAGCTACGAATAACAAACTTCAGGGAATATTGCATCGTACGGGCGTCCCCTGCACAAAATTATGACATACCGCTTCGGTATTCACCCTTTTTCAGCTTTTCATATTCGTGCTCAAAGTGTCAAAATGGTGTATAGTGTTCCTTTACAGACATCTAACACTAAATTGCAAGAGCGCGGATTGTCTTTGCAAAAGACTAATGAGCAGAACTTTTTTTGAATGTAAGCGACAGCAGAAGACGAAGGATTAAATGCATGTAATGTAGTCTTAGCGGGAAAAAGACAACAATCCCATTCCATATATGTAAATGTTTGAGTTCATGAACGACAATGTTTATAAGTTTTTCTGAGTTCACGTATTACGGTGGAACTGCTCCAGGTTAAATAGTGAGCTTGATTGTTGCTTCTATATCACTAACCAAATCCGCAAGACTATTTTTTGTACTCCTTTATCGTTTAAAATTTAATTGAACTTCTATTTCCTACAACAAATAAGATTTCAAGGTTTAGAGCAATTAAATTTAAATTTTATTCCCTCACTATTTCCTTGAATAATAAAGCTTACAATCCGCACGCACATTACTGCTAAATTTACTTCATTCCTCTCGGACCCTTGCATCCGGTTTTGTATGAAGTCTGGTCCCGAATCTCACATGGAATGTTGCATCAGAACAAGAACAGCCGCCGAGATTATAAGAAATAGAACGGAGAACTCGAAATCATAATTCATTAATTAGTCGTTCAAGGACAGATTCCTAACATAGCTTACTAAACGCTTCCGACGCGGTTTGAGTCAGCACTGACAGCCGTTAGTAGGAAAAAAAAGTAGTTCAAGAGGAGGGATGCAATTAAAGCTGGACATTCGAGGTATTTGGGCGCAAATTGGCTGTCACTAGAAATGGGGATATGGTCGTTATATGGAATTGCGAGGGCGGTTCACTACGAGTTCTCACGCAAAAAAATTGAAGGTAGTCTGGAGGGTAATGGTTGAGTTATCGGTTGTCATAAAATATAGAATTACTCGAGAGGGAAACAATCCAAAAAAGAAGTTTCTAGAATTCCCCAAGGGCAAGATATCACATCAGAAATATAGAAATGCGCGTGGTGATACAGATATTACATCATATAGTGTAATTGCACAGTACGTACTACATTCTAAAACGCAGACTGATTGTTTTTTTTTTCAAAACTAATAGGTGTGGGCAGATGCAGAGATCTATAGCTACTGCAATGTTTAACTAAGTCTATGCATCGAAGCTAATACACTCGATTGATTTAACTAAATTTTACAGAGATCCGATATTAGGTTTGCAGGAAGGGGATGCTATTTAGAGGCGACAAAATATAACCGAATTTATGTGGAACGAGAAGATCAACAAGAGAAAAGTTTAGAATATTTGAAAATTACCTTGCTGTTGTTTCATCCAGGGGCTCCGTGGATCGGATACGCCCCCAGGTGGTAAGCTGCCCGCTTTGCCAATGTCCCGAATCGGCAAAAGTCAATTGAAAATCCTCAGTTCGTAATCGGCATCGTTCTCGTAACTGTTCCGAATCTAATGAATCAGTACTAACGGAACTCGATGCAAACAGTGCCGAATCACCGCCAAAATCTAGCTGAGCGATACGTGTGTCGATATCCGAGGGCCAGGTATCATCCTCGGGTTGAAGATGTAGCTCACAGAGCTCCATCTGAAGGAAGCTGAGGCACGTCGACGCGACGAGGGGGGACGAGGGTTGCTGTTGCTGCTGGTGGTGGTGGTCGGGATGGGTGCGTGATCGATGCCTATGCGTGCGTCTCTGGCCGCCCCGTGCCCCGTCGAGCTCCACCCGCGCTCGCATACTCTGCTTCTCTGCCGCTCCGCCGGGGGCCAGTCAGCTGGTTCCAAGCTGATTCACTATACGGTAGCTGCTAATAGCTTATTTAGCATTCACAGAGTTGATAGCATCCGGACTCATGTAGACCAGGTCTTACCATCTTCAAACCTTACTTTACCCACAAAAATCTTACTCTTCAGCACGCTAAAACCTCATAAGGTCAATGATATAATCCCGGTACTGCATTAGAATCACAT